TACAGGACCACCTGTATTTTCGAAAGCTCGAAGACTCGCTCGCGAGAAGCTTAGGTTAGCTAAAAACGAATTCGACCACATGATGGACCTAGGGATAATTCGACCATCGAATAGTCCATGGGCATCCCCATTGCATATGGTCCCTAAAAAGGACAGCAATGATTGGCGGCCAACTGGTGATTATCGGCGTCTGAATGCTAAAACCATTCCCGATCGTTACCCGCTGCCTCATATTCACGATTTGACAGCTACCTTGAAAGGTACAACTGTCTTTTCGAAAATCGACTTGGTTAAAGCTTATAACCAAATCCCGATGGCAACTGACGACATTCCTAAAACCGCCATCATCACTCCCTTCGGTCTTTACGAATTTCTACGAATGCCCTTTGGTTTAAGAAACGCGGCTCAAACCTTCCAAAGGTTTATAGACGACGTCTTCCGAGGTCTCAACTTCGTACATGCGTATGTTGATGACTGTCTAATAGCAAGTCCGGACAGAGAATCACATCTCAAGCATCTGGACATTGTTTTCGATCGACTCCAAAGGCATGGCATTACTGTCAACATACAGAAATGCCAAATCGGAACAAACTGCTTAGACTTCCTAGGACACACTATTGATGCTCAAGGCATCCGACCACTTAGGAGCAAAGTGACGGCCATTCTGGATTACCCAGAACCGACCACGATCAAGCAGTTACGAACTTTTAACGGACTCGTAAGTTTCTATAGACGGTTCATACCTAAATGTGCATCCCTAATGAAACCGTTAACCGATCAGCTTCGTGGAAATGCAAAATCAATTAGTTTAGACGACATAGCCCGTAAAGCATTTTCCACAGTTAAGGAACACATCGCTAAAGCAACCTTGCTTGCTCATCAGGACAGTCAAGCGCCCATTAGTATCGCCGTAGACGCATCCGACTCAGCAATCGGAGCAGTCTTACAACAATGGGTTAACAACTCGTGGCAACCTTTAGGATTTTTCTCGAGACGGTTGCTAGACGCTGAATCTAGGTACAGCACGTTCGGTAGGGAACTCCTAGCTATGTATTGTGCTGTACGGCATTTTCAACATTCCATCGAAGGAAGAGAATTCACGCTCTTTACCGATCACAAACCTCTTACCTTCTCTTTAAGTTCATCTTCAGACAAGTACTCACCAAGAGAGTCTCGACAACTCGACTACATTTCGCAGTTTACTTCAGACATACAACATATTTCTGGAGCAAACAATGTAGTCGCAGACGCCTTGTCTCGAATTAGCTCCTTGAACAGTTTCCAAGGAATCGACCTTCTTAAACTCGCTCAGCTTCAAAAAGAAGACATTGATCTTCAGCATGAGTTATCCTCGACAACTCTTAAACTAAGTATTAGGCAGATGGGAACAGGTAAGGAAACCTTACTCTGTGACACATCTACAGGTAGGGATCGTCCAATTGTACCAAAACACTATCGCCGCAACGTCTTCAATACGTTGCACAATCTTTCTCATCCAGGTGCTCGTGCAACAATCGAACTTATAGCCGAACGCTTTTGTTGGCCTGGCATGAATAAAGACGTGAGGGAGTGGTCACGCTCCTGTGTAAGCTGTCAGAAATCTAAGGTAATCAGACACAACAAATGTCCCTTAGGTTCTTTCAAAACCCCTGACGCTCGTTTCGACCACGTCCATCTAGATTTGGTAGGACCCTTACCCGACTCGAACGGATACTCATATCTCCTAACATGCGTAGACCGTTTTACTCGATGGCCAGAAGCAGTACCGATTAAGGACATTACTGCTGAAACAGTGGCTCGCACTTTCGTCGAACGATGGGTAGCAAATTTCGGCTGCCCTTCCACAATCACTACAGACCGCGGACGCCAGTTCGAATCTGGACTTTTCCGTTGTCTGACCACACTTTTAGGAATCACGCGTTTCCGAACGATCGCCTACCACCCACAAGCAAACGGGTTGGTAGAACGTTTTCATCGACAATTAAAAGCTTCATTATCAGCTTCAAACGTTTCACAGTGGACAGACGCTCTTCCACTCGTCTTGCTAGGTATCCGCAATGCAGTGAAAGCTGACATTGGATACACGGCATCTCAACTCGTTTACGGAACGACACTCCGACTCCCAGGAGAATTCGTGGATCCTTCAGCTTCTTCATTGAACATGGATCTAAACTCTTACACGAGTAGACTTACAAACGCTATGCGTTCAGTTAAACCTGCTCACACTCGACCTCAATCAACTGATGTTTTCGTTCAACCCGAATTACGACATAGTACACACGTCTTCGTTCGTCGAGACTCACATCGACGACCCCTCGAATCAGCATACGAAGGACCTTCGGAAGTCACGAGGCCGGTGCCCCTTCTGACAACCAGAGTAACCATTAGTTCAGGTACATGGAATGTTCGTAGAATGTGGGAGACTGAGAGGGTCATCCAAGTAACTGCGGAAATGAGGAGATACAACCTGGGGGTGTTTAAAACCATTGAAACACATTAGACACAGGTTGGACGACAGAGACTAGCTTCAAGAGAGCTACTGATATACTTCGGCGATGAACAAGAAAATGCTCCACATACATAAGGCGTTGCACTGATTCTATGCAAACAAGCACAAAATGCACTTATGGGATGGGAATCTCAAGGACCAAAGATCATCTAAACCTCCTTCAGAACAAAGAAAGAGGGAATTACAATGAACGTCATCTAGTGCTATGCGCCTACCAACGACTGCGATGATGTTATAGATCAATTCTACAATAATGTGCAGTCAATCGTAGGGAAATGCTGAAGAAACGACTTGACCTTTCCGATGGGAGACCTGAATGTCAATATTGTAATGGACAACACCGGATATGAAGACATTATGGGGCGACACGGACTGACTGGGAGAAAGGAACGAAAATGTTGAGAGATTTGCAAACATATGTGCTTTCAATGAGCTGGTCATAGACGGCACTATATTCCCACACAAATGCATACACAAAGCCACATGCACGTCACCGGACCACACTAAGCCGAACCGAATCAACCATATCTGCATCAACAGAAAGTTCAGAAGGACGATGGAGGATGTGAGAGTCAGGAGAGGAGCTGATATAGCATCAGATCATCACTTGCTAGTCATCAAGATAAAATTCAAACTTAACAAGCACTGGACAATGGGGCGGACAATATCACGAAAGTTTAATATGGTTTTTCTTCGAAACACTGACAAACCCAACCAATTCAAGATAGCCCTCAGCAATAGGTACTAGGGCTTTCACAATCTACTCAATAGACAGGGAACAACTATGGAGAACAACTGAAAAGGGATCAAGGAGGCAATCACTTCAACATGTTGTGAGGTTCTGGGCCAAAAAATCACCACCACAAGGAATGGATCACTGTTGGTACACTGGATAAGATTGAAGAGAGGAGGAGCAAGAAATCAGCAATCAATACCAGCCGAACAAAAGCAGAAAAAGTCAAGGTACAAGTTGAATACACAGAAGCAAACAAGCAAGTGAAGAGGAGCATCAGAACCGACAAACGTAAATATTTGGAAGATTTAGCAATGACAGCGGAAAAAGCTGCAAGAGAAGGAAACATGAGACAATTGTATGATACAACAAAGAAAATCGCTGGAAATTACCGTAAACCAGAACGACCAGTGAAATTCAAGGAAGGCAAGGTAATCAACAACATTGAAGAACAACGGAACAAGTGGGTAGAACACTTCAAAGAACTCATGAATCGACCGGCTCCACTGAACCCACCCAACATCGAAGCAGCACCCATGGACCTCCCAATCGATATTGGCCCACCAACAATTGAAGAGATCAGCATGGCCATTAGACAAGTCAAGAGTGGCAAAGCAGCGGGACCAGACAACATCCCGGCAGAGGCACTGGAAGCAAATGTAGCAGCAACTGCAAAGATACTCCACATTCTCTTCAGTAAGATTTGGGATGAAGAACAAGTACCAATAGACTGGAAAAAAAGACTTCTGATCAAGATACCAAATAAAGGCGATCTCAGAAAGTGTGATAACTACAGGAACGTAACTCTTCTCTCAATACCAGGAAATATCTTCAACAGGGTATTGTTAAACAGAATGAAGGACTTCATAAACGCTCAACTTCGAGATCAACAGGCTGGATTCCATAAGGATCGATCGTGTACACACCAAATAGCAACTCTACGTATCATTGTGAAACAATCAATTAAATGGAATTCATCACTCACTTCATGAACTTCTTCGACTACGAGAAAGCATTTGATGGCATGCACGAGACAACACTATGGAGGCTTCTTAAACACCACGGCGTGCCTGAGAAGCTGGTTGATTTCATAAGGAATTCCCATGACGGATTAAACTGCCAAATCATGCACGGAGGACAACTCACCGACTCATTTGAGGTAAAGACCGGTGTTAGGCAACAACTGCCAACCAAAGTCACAATTTTTAATACAAATGTCAAGACACAAGGCAAGCCCTCACTTTGAATCCTCAAGGCAAAATGAGGAGAGGAAGACCAAAGAACACATTAGGCCGATAAATGGAGATAAACATGAGAAGAATGAACAACAATTGGATGGAGCTAGGAAGGAAGGCCCAGGAGAGAGTGGGTTGTATAATGCTGGTCGGCGGCCTATGGTCAATTGGTGGTAACAGACGTAAGTAATTAAGCAGGTATGGACAGCATCTTACTATGACATATCACTAGTTTTTCCTTCCATTTTTTATCAATAACATATTTAGGTTCCTACCTGGAGGTATCGGTGATCCACTGCTACCAGACACGGAAATCCGTTAAGGGAAAGCTTCTTCTACTCCGTTCAGAACCATTTGAAGAATTGGTTGAACATACTTCTATGGTATGTGTGAAGACAAAAAAATACTTCAAGCTGTTAAAGCGTAACCTCAATAATCAAGTTTACTTTTTAGAAGAAGGAATAAACATGATCAGACTGAACTTTATTTTTATTCTTTATGTTGTTCACGTGGAGAACAACTGGCGATAAGCGCGCTGTTCCTCGAGTGCGTTACTTTAAGGCTCTTATGCATGTGATCAGCGTATGGTTTCGTCGCAGAAAAATCTTACTTCGAATTTTATAGCTTCAAAGTTTATAAAATTGGCCTTTATTTTATCACAGTTGTCATGACTCATAACTATCTGTGGTTGTCATTAGATGCTTTTAGTACAACATCATAGCTTTCCAAAAGATCGGATAATTATCCGATCTCTTAAACTTCTCAGCATAACATCATTAATAAGGTCGCTATTGGTACCATCCAAAATCAACATTCTCGTCCTACGTATGACTTTGAAATCTCCACCTGGGGTCTGACTAATTCGGTAGTGAATTCCGTTTTGCCGTCAGGTGAATTAGTTATTGCATCTAAATTTCGAAATTTGTACATCGTGAGTCCCTGATTTGCCTGAGTTGATCAGCCTCAGTCGGTTTGTAGTAGTAGCATAGTCTGTATCAAAATAAGTACAGTTCGCACACACGAATTCATATGATAGAATTTCTGCTCCATTATGATGAATTAAATTTCATTAACAGTTCAGTGTGTTTTGAGCATGGCGGCTACAACAAATGAAACTACTAAGAAGTTGCTGTACTTGTAATTACTAGTAATTTATGAGTTGTAGACGTTGTGCAGACTACCATGATGTTGTCCTTCGATGTAATATATGTTGAAGGAAGACGTTTGCTAGAATAGGAACCCTTATCGCTCTATCCAGATTAAGGCTAAGGCATATTATAATAATTGCCACCAACTGTATAATAAAAGCACCAGTAACATTAGCTGCAATATTCGTAGATGCTACTGAAGCTTCGGCTGTACAGTGGTATGAGTATTGTAGGGACATATCCATAATAAAAATGATAAACTTATACAACTGGAGTACACAAACAATAATGAAGCTATGTGGTCGAGGGTGAGAGGGTTTTCGTGACCTTATCATGGCTCCAGAGAGCAACTATCATGGAGCCATATGGATGAGTCCCTCTACCTTATGCATTGCGATTTTGGAGCCTTTGAACCCTTTTGTAACCTTGATAAATTTTTGGACCATATAAAAGAAGTATATCGACTTTAATTATTTGGTTTTGTATAATATATTAATACTCTATACCGACTGTTTACTGATTGGCTAACGTTTCTCAAGGTCACTTAGGATTCGTTCAAAGGTCGTCTATAAATTATAGTCTCGCCGTACCTGATAATGTTTCCCTACAACTGTAGGCTAAAAGTTTTCCGCAATCTTGAATATGTGTAAAATAGTGTACATTATTTCTTCATATACAATAAAATAGCTCACATCATGAATTTCATCTTAGTGTCTCCTCCACTAAATATATATTTAGATGTTAGATGTAATGACATGTAGCGAATATTAGGATTAGTTTGGGATCACGTATATCAAATTTGGTCCACTTCAAACCTAGTAACCCCTCTATCATATGCAGAATTTAACATTTCATCATGTTTTAGTTACTTGCAGTAAAATTTGAGTCACATGAAATCCTACTACCAACCTGAGGAATGCCTATTACCGTGCTTCAAGGCTCTAAAGGTAGACCGAATATTTTCTCACATCTTTGAACTGACTTTCAGTTTAAAGAAAATGTTCCAATAAAACACTAAACATCTATCTACGTCGTTTTCTATTCTGTTCTGGTATCTTCTGTTTTTTTTCTTTTGTTTAGTTGATTTCCAAATATGGAATCTGTCGATATTCATTGTTCCGCCTTATGCATAGCCAAAAATCGGCACCTGTCACTTGCTACGTCTACAGATGTTTCAACTCCATTTCGTTTCGTAGTTATTGCTGACCCACAGCTTGGTTTACAAGAGCAGTATGTGGAAAAACGTCCCCGACCCCACCACTGGGATGGGGAAGTAAAGCTTGTAAGTAGGGCAGTAAATATTATAAATCGTCTTTGTCCGAAGCCAGCTTTTGTTATCATTTGTGGGGATCTTGTTAACGACCAACCAGGTGGTCCTGATAGATGTAGACAAACATCTGATTTGCTGGACGTGTTGTCTCATATCAACAGTGATATCCCTCTTATTGTACTTCCAGGAAATCATGATGTTGGGAACCTCCCTGATGCAAATGACGTGCAGGACTATAGAAGCGTGTGGGGAGATGATTACTTTACTTTCATATTTAACCGAACAAGGTTTATTGTACTTAATACTCAATACCTAGTGAATGATTCAAAGTGCCTATCTTCGGCAAATGAATTCCGTCAATGGTTCAATGAACAACTCTCTATAAAAAATGAAAATTTCGATGTGTCGGTTGTATTCCAGGTAATATATATTTTACTTCAAAGTAACTGAGAATCGGTTAATGTTGGGATAATGCTTTGCTAGCAATTTTTAGTTCTATATTTCCATATTTTTCAAAATTTCATACTTTATATGTCTCCGTCATTTGTCATGGTCCGACCACAATCTGTATTATAAAGCTCGTCCTTGTGTTATGGGTTATGTCAAATAGTGGCTTTTTGACTCTATCCTAAAATAGTGGCAAGATATGGTACCCATTTGTGACCACTAATTGCTACAAGAGCTTACGTTGACTAGGGTAAGAACATTGGAGAAACTTTAGCATGCGTAAATTAACGCGTAGCACCAATTCGTGGTTCTGTTTACTTCTCTATTTAATCTTTTTACTGCCATTTTTCTGACTTAAGTTTCTAATGTATCACAGTTGATTGGAAATACTAGCTATTTATAACAAAACACTCCGGTCACAATCGGCAGTAAGAAGAAAAAAAGGAAGTCATACAGACTAACAAAGGTAACAGTCCTGAAGAGTATAAACTGATATAGAAAATACGGCGAAGATAAATTTCATTCGCGCCTCAATGTTCGTGAAAAATAACCGAAAACTACAGAAGTATTGCCATTAGATCGATTTGGAGCCATTCATGATGAAATCTTAGCTAATGAGTTACAGAGTCTGTATGACTTCATCTAGGAGTAGTAAATTATCACACTGACTAATTACATGTTCATGTTCTTGCCTTCGTCCCGACGGTTGCTGCTATCTTGACGTGGTAGTCGGGCTTGCCTATCGTAATGAACCAATCGGGCTATACTGGCTGGAACAATCGTTACTCAAGGTTCTACTATAGTTGAAGAGCGGTAAGACTAAAAGCAGCAAACCAAAGGTCCGAAGGTGAAGTCTTACTGCTAACTGTACAGAGGTGTGACGGCAGTAAGATGTTTTTTTCAGACAACCAGCATAGCAGCGATGTTGTCTTTCCGCAAAAGAGGAGTGGAATTAGAAAAGGTCGACCCTAAAAATGCACACCTCACCTTATCCCACGAATTTACGTCTCCGGCGGTAAGGTCTCAACAAGTACGAAGCTAACATGAGAATTACTCACAAAAGGGTCGTATGTGACTGACCTCAAGCAGTTGACCCTTGAGCACTGCGGTAAGGCTCTCAGGTCACTAAGACCACCTCTAACTAAGTTTCCTTTTTTAGGTACCCCTTGAAAAACCCTTCCACGGTGTGGGCAACCGGAAAGTGATAACCGCCCTCAAACCTATAACAGCACTCAAGATCACTGTATTCATAATCAATTTCCTTCAGTTCCTATTATTTCTCCTGACTGGGATTTCAACTCTAAACTTCCTCTTTTGACTTCCTTTTCAAGTATCACCATAGCCGACGATTCTAGTGCGCGAAACCCTGTCTCAGGTCTACTGAAACATCGCTCCAAACTACACGTCTTCATCGGCCATGGGGGGCAGGACAAACTGGTCGATGTTGCCGAAGCAGCAGGCCAGTTGAACTGCCCTTCGAAGAATTCCGCCCATCGTCCAAGACGTCGACAGATGTTAATGATTGGCATCCCACTTGTAAAATATCTTAAATGCTATTGGTCCGTTGTATCTTTGAGTGTGCTATTTTGTAATGCTGCTCAAGGACAATTTATCGCTGTATATATACGTTTGAGTTTTCCCCTTATGATTTGCTTGTACTCGGCTGCTTACGGAATATATATTCCCCTACTTCGCCTTGGACTTCATCCTCTAGTTAGCGGGGCCTGGGACAACGAATTAGATTAGCCTATCGTGTCACTGTGTCTTTGACCTTTGTTCGTTCACCGAAAAAATCGAATTAGCTCAAGCATATCACGTCATCCTCACAAATTGTTTCACTCACACCAGACTTCTTGCTGCCAGTGGCTCGGATGAGTTGGAAGAGCTTCCGGCAGTTACCAGATGCATCTGCTGCTTCCATCTCATTAGCACGCTCCGACTACCAGGTTTCTCATTCCTTATTCAAGCTTTGCCCAATTTCATTACGTAACAGCTTTCGTTTGTGGTCAAACTCACGGTCACCCGGAGTAGACCGACGGGCTTCGATCAGTTGTAAGGAGCCAGAAGAAACCCAGTGCTTACAAGCGGGACGTTTCGCGAAGACCGCAAGCGACTTTACTCGCCATTTTCATGGCGTCATGCAGTTGCAACCAATGCTCATCTATACTTCTCGGTGGGATGGTAGCTAACCCAAAAGCTAGCTCGGCTCGATACTTACTTGCAACAGAAGTTTCAACCAGTTTACTAACATCAATCCGTTGATGACGGTCAATTCGTTGGCGCAGACCAGGGCATGATCAGAGTTTAGATAGGTACTCCAAAAGGAGCGGCAGTCTTGTACACAACCACGCCAGTGGTAGCTGATCGCGATGTGATCAATCTGAGTCCAGGCTTGAGATGCTCTGTTGCCCAGACCGAGCAGGTGGTTTTCTTAGGGGGCCACACCCCAAGCCTTTGACCTAATGGTCTAACCCACAAGGCAGTGGAGCATCGTGAGGAGATGCAGTTCTATGGTATCCGGTGACCAACAATTGGTTCATACGTCATTTGTTCCTTCAGGATACTGGAACTCATGTGCACTATTGGTTTGGGAAGTTTTCCAACTCCCCTATGTAGACACTCCATGTCCGCCAATCCGGTTAAAGCGCTGGAAGTTCGCTTTCCGTCCTCTCAATTTTGTGAACAACACCCCCGCCACGAGAAGGCAGTGAGTAGGAATTCCGTGGCAGAGGCTATATACGCGTGGCCGTGTGAGAGCACTTCGAGAGAGAGGGTGGGGCCCTCCTCACTCTCAGCCATACCTCGGTATTTGGGGGTAATGGCGTAGGTGTACACACTATCTGTCTTCCCTTAAACTTAGATTACTTTATACCTTTTCTCTCTGTATCATATCCTTACATGCAATCTTTTTTTATGTATTACTACCATTAAAGTAACTACTATGAATTCGGTGTTCATCTTGTTGTGCTAATGAGGTGTGGCAACTTGAACCGATGCATATATATATCTGGTCCTACGTTGTAGCTGGCTGACTGACTGACTTGCTTTCGAGCCACATGTTCTTAATGAAAGCCACTAATATTAACAGGTTTCTGAAACCGAGGTAGATAAATCACCATTCAATTTTGCAGCCCCATCCGTTGTCATGATGTGTTTTAACAAATAAATGACCCAGTACTCTCGATAAAACACCGAATAAGAATGTGTGAACAGTTCCTAACATCATTTAGGGGTGCTCCAATTTGTGTTGATATTTGTAGGCTTTCATTTGTGATCGAATCAGGACAAGTTGATGATTGAAGAAAAAATTTAAATCATTCACTAGGTACTTGGGTGTGAGCGACATTAAATGTAAGGACCAATGATACTATCCGGCTGCCAAAACCGAAGTAAGCAAAGCAGATTTCGAATCAGGGACTTAATGATTGAATGTTGGAGACCGTAACCTCTAAGGCAAAGTTAAATTATATGGTTGAAAACCAGTTTTAGAGAGTCTCATTTATTTCCTGTTGAATATTATTCCCTTGATTTTTCTTTTACCTATATATTGGATTGTATTGCCCCAACGAGTATTAGTTTCTTTATTGTTTCTTAATTAAAATATTAAATCTACGAATTTGATATTTTAGTGATTTGTACCATTCTGTAGTTATGGTGAACCATCATAAAATCTCGTTTGTCACTGAAAAAGATTTAAATTATACGATACAGTGATCATTTTTATTGTCATAATTGTGGCTTAGAATTAGTGGACTTGATAAAAATTCCTTTCAAAATTAGGTTTAATACTCATGATTTCCAAAACTCACATTTTATCCCCATTTACCTAACAAACCGAATCTTTGAACTAGATAAAATTAGTCTGTTGTTGCTCCTATCACTTTGTTGGTTAAAGTTGTTTTATTTCTATTAGAACAAATTTACATCATCAAAATAGAGCCTGAGACAGATGTGTGTATTGGCTCAAGTTGCCATATCTGATTAGCTAGGCGAGGCGAATATGTCTAACATTGTTATTGGTAGTCAGCCAGTTAACTATCCGACACTAAAAATCAAGTTAGCACTGAGAAATCGGATGTCCATTAAGCTTGTTAGTAGTAATTACTTTGAATTTAAGTGGTTATAGTAGTAGCAATGAACGATTTGTTGACTGTGCATATACACATGTTGCATAGTATTTATTATTCCCAAATCCATTGTCCTCACTACCGTTAATATTGTTATTATTGGTTTCATTCTTTTGGTTTTGTGAATATTCCTTCCTACTGCAATATTACGAGTTGTAGCAATTTCATACTGTCTATGGATAAATGAATCATTGTTGTAAAAGCGTAAAACCTAGACAATTCAGATAAACTTTTTATGTAAACCTCCCCTGCTTCGGTTTGGCCACCCGGGCAGTATCACAGCCCTCACACAAATCAAATGAGATTTGTGTGGCGCATATATATTCAGTGCCCTTTGTACCAATATTTATGTGTTCAAATAAATAATAATAAATAATGTAAACCTCCCCGTTTATCTTTTATGTTTCAATAGTACAACTATTGTTTTAGAGGCATAGTGATTAATGTCATGATTTACTCACCAAAACAATAGACTCAATCAGTAGGTCACGGGTTCGAACTCCTCCTTACCTAACACAGTTTAGCTCATTAGGTATTTTCACTAGCCCTTACATAGAAAGTGTAGGTTACAGCTCATCATATAAACTTGCACTTGTTAAGTGATTTTTATTCATCTACGTCACTCTAACCATTGATTTCGATTGATTCATATTCCACCAGTTTATCGCTGCTACATCTCTTTCTCATAACTTGAGTTTGGTCATCAAATCTATAAAATGTCTTGGTATATGGTAACCTTCCATTTTTGAATTGATTGCATGGATCAATCAATTTTTCACATCCAATAGTATCAATAGTTTAGTTAGTCTAATTTATAATTTTTGTCGTACAACTTTTATTGTCATTGTTGTTTTTCTCCTCCCATTTTTTTTTACACTCCCCCCCTCTCGCTTTTTTTTCTTTTTTAGCACACTCCATTTTTCTTAGAAGATATAAATGAACCAGATAATTATTTCAATATACCAATAAATTATCGTAAAGAATTTGTCAATGAACTTTATCAACATAAAATTTATTATGCGTTCGCTGGTCATTTACATAAAAACAATATAGCAACTTATACTCCATTAATAATTGATAAAAATAATAATCATACTAATAAAAACAATAATGATAAATCATTTTCAATGATCACTTCATCATCTGTTTGTGTTCAATTAGGTGATGATCAACCAGGAATTCGTCTTGTTCAAATTAATAGTAATAATATTGAAAATGAAAACTTTTTAAAGCATGTCTATTGGACGTTGGATAAATTAGAGGAAATCTTGAACTCTGGCAAACAACCAGAAATTTAACGTTTCATAGACATTAGGTTATTTTACAACCTTGTTTTCCTACAGTGTATAACATCATAATATTTGTTGTTTTTTTCTTTTTGAATGGGGGCATCATGTAGAAGAACTAAGTTTGTTTTTTAAAAAAAATAAGAAAATATTTCTTGAAAATAATTTGTTTTTTATTGCTTTCCCCCCATCTTTTAGTCATATTTGCTATGCCTGTGATTGAATTTTCTATGGTTTGTTTTAATTGCATCATTGTACTAATCATTTGAATTGGTGATTTTTTTTCCCTTTTTTTAGTGTACTATTAATTTCAAGGTTCCAATTATTTATGTTTGAAAGTTGGTCTATTCAACTGATGTATCATTTTTTTCTAGACATAAATATATACATTTTTCAAAAGTAATTTGAATAATAGAGATAGTTATATTTTAAGTTTTTAGATTCTTATCTTAAATTACACATATTTTTAAGGTTTCATGACCAAGACAGTATTGATGATTATGTTGAAGCGAAAATAATAAAAACATAGGGTATTTTAGGGTTCAAATCTGTCATCTGTCTGTTTCTAAGGTATTGTTGAATTTATAACACTGAGACTTACACCCAGTCATCGTTATACACGTTAGTGTACGGCTGAGAGTGGGGAGAGTCAGCTCTCTCGAAATACTCTAAAGTGGCCACGAGCATATAACCACTGCCAGGGAAGTCCTACTCACTGCCTTCTCGTGTCGGGGTGTTGTTCACAAAATTGAGAGGACGAAAAGCGAATGCCAGGCGCTTTAACCGGGCCGATGGACACGGCGAGTCCGTCTAGGGGAGTTGGAAAACCTTGATTCCAAACCAATGGTGCACGTGGGCTCCAGTATACTGAAGGAACAAATGGCGTATAAACCAATCGTTGGTCACCGGCTACCATGGGACTACATCTCCTCACGATGCCCCACTGCCTTGTGGATCAGACCTTTAGGTCAAAGGCTCGGGGTGTGACCCCCTAAAAACCACTTTATTCGGTCTGGGTACTCGGACAGTATCTTAGCCCTTACACAAATCGAATGATTTATGTGGCGCATGCCTATTCGGTACCTCCTTGTACCAATGTTTATGTGTTTAAATAAATAAATGAAATAAGTATTTGGTTTTAATCAATCCTCTTCTTCAATGAATACTTATCAATACCTAGTCAAAGTAGATGGGATATGATTCGGATATAAAACCTGGGTTTTTAAAAGTTGGATACCCTAACATTCAAGTCATAATTCTACAGAATTATACTTTGTTAGTTCCAGTGTTAATTTACAACAATTATGTAAAGTTTATTACTAACTAGTTGAGATGAAGTTGAAGATTTATCAGTAGTTAAACCTTGTAGCCCAGTTGGTGGAAGGAAGCTGTCTAGTTAAACTTTAAACCTAGACTAATCCTCAAAAAGAAATCAACCAGTCTCTGAATAGGTTAATGCTTGACAAATTTGTGTTAATGTGAAAAAGATGATAACTAAGGTGTACGAAATTCCGAGTCATGCGTGATTTTGAGAATATTGTCGTCCGATCAACTAAGTAATTGAAAGAAGAGAGATAATGTAATTTTTTAGTAATAAAATTAATGATTTCTAAGAGAAAAAAAAGAAAACATGTTGATCAGTTGTTGCTAGATTGGATATTTAACAAAAGAGTTAACAAGGTATGTCGATCAAAAGTCAATTTTATGGTATTTGCGTTAGAACAAACAGTAGAATTTATGAACCATGTAGAAACACAAAAAGGAAATAAAATTAGATAGGTTTGAATGAGTGTTATGAATCAGTGTTCTGTTATAATCCATTTTTGTATATATATGTCGTCTGCCTAGGTAAGGATTCTACAAACTTCTTTTAAGTACAAAAGTTAGGTTTCTAAATGTAAATTCTTATAGTTATACAGTGTGAAAAAGACGGGTCGTTAGATCATACGGTAAAATTTGATGCAGTATGTTAGTTAACCTTGAAAGCTTTATTTCAGTTAACTTGGAATCCCATGTCAACTAAGTGACTGTATATAGAACTCTTAAATACCCTTAACTATTCTTTGCTTAACCAATCCAGGTGGTGTCTAGTCTCTATTTTTAATTCAACAATGAATAAGACGAGCAATCTGATGCTGTAGCCATGAAATCACCACTGAGTCTTTTTCTGGCAGAAATTTATCCTACAAAACTAAAGAATAATCAGTCAACAACTAACTGTCACATTCAAAACGATATTTTAATGATATTGAAAGATAAAGATGAAAAAGTTAATTTATTTAACATTCATCCATCAATTACATTTAATTTTTGAGGAAGATCGTGGAGTAACAGCAAATCACTATATCAATGGATACAGTTTGGCTTGGTTGTGTAAAGGATTGTTAACGGCGATTAAGAGTTTTATTCTTTGCCATTTGACCGACGAAAGATGTCAAACTCACTTGAATACAACTTCTAAAGTTGTCCATCAAATAACTTGGTCTCTTTGTGCTGATATATGGTGTGACAACTTTTCACACAACTAATTCACATATATACCATTGACTCCATTGGTTATAGCTGATATCTGATTAGTAAATTAGTTATAATCTACTTAATATTTTCATTCTTTTACTTCACTTGTTAGTCACGAAAAGCATCTCACTAGCTATATAATGATCATCTCGTAAATTCGATCTACAATAACTTACAGTTTTTTTTGTGTGTATGATTTCTTTCTAATACTGTATACTTTATGGTTAGGTATAATCTTTAAGCTCAATTAATTAGTGCATCCAATTGAAATCAACGATGAGTTATTGTGAGTAATATATATGTAATTCATTAATCTTCATCATGGTTGCCAGGGTCAAAAGTTGACTTATTTAAATATAAAATTCACATATTTTAAATTATTCTATTACCATATTTATTCACTGAGTTTTTCATCTGTTTCAGCAAACTAATTCATCAAAAAAATATTCTCTTAAACAGCATTCTCATGATTAAATGTAATAAATTGATGTTCATTTGTAAAGTTCCCAACTTAATGAAAACTTTTAGCACAAATAATTCATCAATATTATTACCTATTGGATCTGTTCGTTGTTATTCAATTCCTATTAGTATCAGAACGAATAGTACTACTATTAAAACTTATAGTAGTAGTCGTCTAATCTATAGAAATTTATCATTTACTGCTACTTTATTTCAACCAACATCATCATCATTGACATCAATAAAACTGAAAGATCATCAAACCAATTTAAGTTTGGGACTTTTTCATCCGAAAAAGAAACGTGTAGATAAAGTGAGTATAATATATGTATATATATATAAATTAGTATGAACTGACTGAAGAATTATTTATCTCGGTTATTTCAACGATTCATAGGATCAGAATGGGTTTTGTGGAGATTTCAGTATTTCCATAGTTGAAATCATGAGTCAATTGAAGCTAGACCACCATGGAAAACGGCTGTCTAGTTCTTCCAGGTTTTCCATGGTGGTCTAGCTTCAATTGACTCATGATTCATAGGATGTTCATTTTAACTTCGCTAAAATTGACGAATTTATTGGATATCAAATTTTAGTTTTGAGCAGTAATCTAAATGAAGACCAGATTTCTTATTATGTTCTTGAAACCAACTCATTAAAACACATGGTGTGCTTATCTTTGTTCTATACATAAGTAGGAAACCTTCTACAAAATATTAATAATTCGTTAATCTACTTAGCAAGTTTATTGAATATGAGATTTAACCATGTTTTCATGGTGAAATTTTATTGATACCTTAAAGCATCTCAGCTCTATGAAAGACTTTCAGCTCTCACATTTTATTTTATGATTATTTGCAACAACCATTAACCTCATAACACAGATTTCGTTCAAATTACAGGTCGTTTATTGTATAGTTTCCAGTATTCCCTTCAAAACCATTTCGTTTTGACAACGATATTAGACAAAAGAGATTTTCTTAATTCTTATTGTTCTCGTCAAGGTCTGCGTTGAACCCCATTAGAGAGTGTCATAAGTTTATATAGTTTAGATCCCATGTTATCATAACATTTCTAGTAACGCCACATTCTATTACATTTCGTTATCAACATTTATGATTAAAACCTTATTTGTGTGAGAAATAAAACGAACGAAGAAGTATACCAGGTACTGGTATACATAATCTAGCCTTCATCTATGCAAAACCAGAGTAATAGGAGAATAATTTATTAATTTCAAATCTGGAATAATAAGACATGACAAAGATTTATAAATCAAACGAAAGCCTAGAAATAAGAGTATATAAAAGTATATAAAAGCGTCGACTAACTATACAATAGAAATGTAAATAGTAACTCTTTGTATAATAGTCTTAAGAGTTACACCTTCGCACTATTTATCCCAGTATGTTAGTGTTCGAACGAGAAAGTGAAAAAAAGCCAACTGAATATAGAGACAACACAATCAATAATTAAATAGCATGTCGAATTATGTTTGGTGATAAGATGATCTCTGACGACGATGACTAAGTAAAAAACGTGCAGTAGGTTTGTGTGCAAATCAAACATATGAACAAAGTTTGAATACAGCAAATATTTCACTTAGATCCAGTGATTCAGTGTCAAAACCCTAGTTACAAAAACTGATAGCTCTCTGACTAAATCACAGAAGGACTCGCCTGTATTAAATTTTTGATTAGTTAATAACTATGATTGTGAGCTAATTTTAAAAATTCCTTTTTTTTTCAAATTCGCCGATTTCTATGTTACTGTAGAGAACTTCTGTTGCTCAATCTAAAAATGATCATCGTACACTTGTGTACAACATTTACGAGTGTTTTGCTGTCAGTCTAGTTAATTAAATCATCACTTAGGGATTAAATTCTATAGTCCCATCAAAATTTAATTTTTGTACCGTCTCAGTGTATTTATATAAATTAATCATTACTTATTGCTTTTCAATGAATGATCACTGCAATGGCCAGGGTTATACTTTTCCAATCTTTATTACTGATCTAGTTTTATCGATCAAGTTCCAGTAATCTAAGTGGTTCAACACTGCGTTCACCATATTGTAATGTTTTTATAGCTTGGTAATAGCGTCTTGAACAAGAGCGCTAAGTGATGCAGGTTCAGACCACATGGATATAAGTTTTTTTCGAACATCGCTGACGAGTGACTGATAGCATAGAAGGACTGGACAAACATGACACTAATCATTACTCACGGATCGATTAATTGTAAACCTGTCAGTCTTACAGTAGGTCAGTCTCCACACGAATAGCACAATGATAACGTTCCAGACTGTGGCACCGTGTAACGTCGAATATACTGCTTATTGGCACTATACTCTTATCTAATCGTTTCCTATTATTTTGTTTGTTTTAAATTACCTTAACCTCTTGCATATACAGGAAATCGCTGATTTAAAACAATCTGGATTTTACGATATCGCAGGTTATGGTTTTGCCCAGTGCACTGATTTGAAAATGCTCCGCTCTTATCTTTCCAAATTTGATAATCTGTATAAATTTCCTACATTACCATCGGAATTATCATCGGAAGTATTGTTAATCTCTCAGTTGTTTGAAATAAATACGGAAAATAATAATCCATGGGATGCATTTATTTTCAAGTAAGTGTGTTTGTGTACATGTCTTTGTTTATGTGTAGCATCTATTCATGGGTATACTTACCGACCATTGGATAGTAATCGTTAATCTCATCAGTCTGACTGATCTATTTGATGTGTGATGTGAATCATCGGAGAAAGTTGCCAGATCGTCTAACATCTAGGGCTCTTTTTTTACATCGTAAGGATCTTTAATGTTAATGTCTACAACAAAAGGCAAAAACGACAGGCGTTAGGTTGAGTCACGATTATTACTAAAAGATGACAATTTTACACAAACCAAAGGTATGATTCACGACCACAACTCATTTGCTAAAAGTTGGATACTGATATACCACAAATCCATAGTTATTTAACCGAATGTTGTATATTAGTATGCTGTGTCTATGTTGGGTGCTGTAAAATTGCAACATGATTGAACTAAATAAGCAAATGATCAACAAACCCAACTCACAATACCTCTGATTGCTCTCTAATCCCAGACACTAACAATTAAGAGTATAAAATAACTTCTGGAGTAATTTGTTGCTTCTGTCGACGATAACATGATTAGAAATGTATGGTCTGTTGTTGATGTTCAGAACTGAATTTTGACTCATCTTTGTTGGCATAAATTCATTCTGTGCGATCGGTCTCAATTTAACCATTTTGCCACAAGATTTTTTTTGGATGAATAGTTTGTGGTTAGCAGTGAAATCCAGAACGAGCTTTTAGTCTTATTTGGAACTTTTCAGCCTCATGTATATGTATCTCACTATTGATGTTCACACTGGGACTCGAACCCAGTACCCTTTGGTTCGGACGCTAAAGCGTTATCCAGTGAGCTACTGAGTTTGAATGGTCGTTTTTATGTGTTTCAAATTCATTGGGGTAGCATACTGCTCATTTGGAACCCAAGCCCTCTAAATTGAGGATGTTCGGTCATTCCGTTTTGAAAAGATTACTGAGGATCAATGTTACCGCTAAATTAGTTATGTCAAGGTCCGGCAATGTGTGTTCGAGCGCAGTGATAGTAATTCAATTAGTATTACCATCTTGAAATATGCACTCTGATAGATTAGTTGTGGCTTACGCATTTCATCATAACGACTTCCTCATTGTGCACTATTTTTTGATGTTCACACAGTGCAAAGAGTGGAGGGGTGGTCAGCTTATGACGTGACACCGTTGTATGAGAGATTGTTATATGGGTCTAGGGTTGGTTAACTCATCAGGAACCAACTGTTGGGATCCATGAGATAGTGAAATTCGGTGATCTGAGTCACTATCAAATATAGCTAACGGCTATCCTACCATACTTCTTTCTCTACTACTCTTCATGATAATCAAATAAGCTTTCCTAACTGAATTTTTTTCTTAGCTACATTTTCAACCAAACTGTAAATTATTATTATTTTCATTTCTTGTTTCATTGTACTACCATGATATTAGAAGATATTCGGATTAATATACTAGCCTGAAACTCCGAAAGTTTCTGATTCAAGTCAGATAGAACTCGATGAGCACAACTGAATTTACTGTATTTAGAAGTCGTAATAAGCGCGTAACAATCTACAAAGGAATCATTATTACATACAAACACAATAACTATTCTTCTCTTCCTACATTTCTTCACATTATTTCATTAGTGGGGTGTATTTGTTTTGCATTTCTTATTGAACCAATTTCTGTGTGAACTAAATAAACAACACATTGACCAGGGATTCTGGGTTGTTTACATTTAAATAATTCGCGCCTGGATTTGTGTTTCATCACAACTACCTATAGCAGCATTTAAAATTGTTTCAATTACCATAATTGAAATTTGATATGATAATATTTGGACAGTGGTACTGAGGGGAATTTAGCTTACCACTAGAGTAGTTTGTTTCTCTCAAAAACAATGATGTAACTATTGTGATTGAGTTTTGAACAAAAACTGATTCAATAATAGTTTCCACTTATTTCCTTTTTTTCGATTAAAACATTTTTCCTAGCCTCATTGCCACGATAATGTAACAAGGATTATATTCAGCTGTTATTATCTTCCACTTTTTTTATACTTTCAGTAATGGAGTGGCTGTATTTTGGAATATGCCTGAGGAAAATGTAAGTTCATCGGAATTTTTTTCCCGTCATCAATTTCCTTACATGATTTTTCCTCTCCTTTTTCAAAAGACTCATTCATTCACCGTTTGCTGTATATTTTCTCACATAGCCGCAACAGAAATCGAACCCAAAATTTTTATATTTCATTGAGACCATGCTACCACTGAATTCTAATATTATGTATTAGGTTATAAAAACTCATTTTAGTAATTGAATAACATGTCCAAGAGTAACACAATTGTTCAAAAAAAGGAATCAAATGGGAGATCGTTGTTTAATTTGTGCATAAGTATTTTTTGATAGAGAACAGTAATTAAAGTATAAATTAATTGAACTTAATAATGTAGTGAACAAGAACACGAGTGGGAACAATCGAATGTATTTAAGCACAAATTACAAACTGTCTCACTAAATTCTGATAATCATACAGTGAACAGTTAATTTGCAAAATAACAATCAATTGTCTCAATCTTCACTCTTCCTTCTGTAAATATCAGTTCATCATCTCTAATTTCATTGTTCATGCATTTTCGTACTGATTGCGCTTCACTAACACTTTATCCATTTAAATTAATTTCAAATAAACCCATTTTTGTCATAACTTAATGATGTACACACTTCAAATAACAATTCTGTTGTTAATCCGGTCACCGGTTAAATAATTCGCATTGGTCACTGAATACTAGTAATATCAAGTAATTATCCAGTTGGTTCTTTGTTTTTGTTGATTGTTCGTGTGGTGATATCAACATGAAATTAAGATTGTATTAACATATTCTTCATAGTTGAAATCATGAGTCAATTTAAACTAGACCACCATGAAAAACCTGGAAGCACTGGACGTCCGTTTCGTCCTATTATGGGATTCCTCAGCAGTACACATCCACGATCCCGCACTCGCGAGATTCGAACCCAGGACCTACCAGTCTCGCGCCAGAGCACTTAACCGATTAACACTTATTGATGACTCATAGTCCATTAGTTTGAATAGCTTGAAAAACATTTATCTGTATTTGTTTACAGAAAATTTGAATTTCGTTCCCAATTTGAAGTTTTTTAAATATTATAAGTGGTGTAATTGTAGATATAGCAACTAGTTAATTACAGTTCATACTCTTCAATAATATCCGAGGTCATATGTTGATTACATTTGGCTAGAATTGGATTTGACGACTTGTATTTCAGCCAGTTGTTCGAAGCTGATCAGCCGAACATATCTGAGTGTGGATGATTCCTGCTACAAGAGTTGTATCATAGATTCTACAAGAAAATTAAATCAAGATAAGATCTTAGGCAATATTGAGTCATTTTTACAAGGAGTTTGTACGTAATGAGAGTTTCAACAAATATCAATTGTGGAAAATTCCAAATTTTAATAACAGTTGTGTTATGAATTTGAAAAAAGCGTCGCCAATTTGTTGTGATCTTATGCCCGGCTTTTTATCACGTGGTTTATCCACTAATCGGAATACGACTTTTCCGATCTTAGCACTGTGCTAAAACAATGACGTTCGGTTGGTATGAGCAGCCTAGCGTATTTAATGGTCCTTCATACACCTAGCCCTTCTAGTTGAGTCCAAAACACCAATTACAGCTTCTGTTATGTGAATCATTTATTTCAAGCATATTCGGTTCATATGCCGGATAGACTGACCACATCACACCATAAAATAGAAATTAATATTTGTACAAGATCGAGCCAAGTGTGGCTGTGAACATGGGATACAGTAATCAATAAACTGAATATAATTTAGAGACAGTAAATCGCATAATAATAATTTATAGGTCAAAATAAAGCTAACAATAAGGTATATATATATATATATATATATATATATATATATGGGTAGTCAAATTTATAGAATTGAAAAAAGACACCACAGTAATTTAAACAGTAGAATCTGATAACTTCTGTGGATATCCTGTTTGGTTTATGCCCGATTATATTATATATTGTATATTCAGAGTTATTCTTAGTGTTTCCGGTAACAGGGTCGAACAGAAACTCATTATTATCTTGAATTTTTCTGATTATTTGACATATTTTAAATCAGTATAGGGATTTGTGGAGGTTGTATTAATCAATCTAAGCTAGATCACCATTGAAAACCTGAAAGCACTGGACGGCCGTTTCGACCTAGTATGGGACTGATCAGCAGTACTCATCCACGATCCCACATCAGTGGCTCAAACCTAGAACCTTTCGGTTTCGCGCGTGAAATCTTAACCTCCAGACCACTGAGCAGGAATCCAATAGTTCTAATGTCTAACTTCAATCAATCCATCATCTCGCGCAACCCTTCATCCATTTTCGGAAGTGGATAACTGTCTTACATCACTAATTTTGGAATTATCATTAAATTGTACGTTTATAAATAGCATTTCATCAAACATATGGTGTTTCATGGATATGAAATTCATTTTATAGAGTTAGATAGTTATGTCTAACGCTTACATGTTTATTGTACCATATTCCTTGGCAATACAAACCTGTACGTATTATTACCATTGAGTTTCATTTTTTGTGATAATACAATTGTGATATAATATCCAAAGATTAATTCTAACAGTTGGAGAATGAATTACTTACAGATTAATTTCCTTCAGTTGCCTATAACATTTCATCATGTTTATTTGTTATATAAGCATTTTCTTTTTATTACATGAAGAACTATTCATCTGGTTAGTTATCTTGTCTTTGATTTTTAATCATTCCGGGGGCCTAAGTGAATTATAAGGTCTTGTATGGAACCATCATTTGGCCACACATATCATTGCGTTCATCTGTCGATTAGCATTCCATTCATCAATTTTAACAGTAACAATCAAAACACAGAAAACCTCCTCTTTGACAGATTAGTAATTTAAAAACTAACTCTTCTCACTCAAATGTTAAGTAATTGCAAGCTAATTGGCAAGATGTTCTAATAAGTACTAGGTATGTACAAACTGTACGTTGATCAGTTTTCTAATAATTTTCTCCAATTATCATATGTCATGCAAAGTATATCATAATGTTGTATTATGTAGCTAACTGGATGACTGTTAAAAGCTAAACTTCATCGATAAGACACCAACAACACTATAAATTAGACAATATTTAATAGATCAGAGGGGGGTCTTGTGGAGAATTTAACATTTAAGGACTCTGGTTCAAGACTAGTAGATCCTGGGTTCGAATCTCGCGAGTGTGGGATCGTGGATGCACACTACCGAGGAGTCCCATAATAGGACGAAACGGCCGTTCAGTGCTTCCAGGTTTTCCATGGTGGTCTAGCTTCAATTGACTCATGATTTCAACTATGGAAAAAAAATTTAATAGCCTCATAGTTACCAATTTGATATTCTTACATTCAATATATATATAGTTATAATCTCATACCGTACTTGAGGTGACCTTGGCATACTTTTCTATAATTCATGCCTAACATTGTCATCGATTTTGTTACTGTTTAACTGAAGAATAATGTATCGGTATCTTATATATATGTTCATACTTTACTAAATATTTAGCATCAGTCATTATTGAAAGAATTTCGTCAATTCAGTGAAGGAATTTTAGAAGAGAATCTAATTGAACGTGAAGGTTTAAGATATTGTTTAACCAAGTGAGTATATTGTTATCTCTTTTTTGTTTCTGATATGTCTTGTTGATTGAACGCTATACTCGGATCCTAAGCTAGTCTTGCACCCCCAAGCTAGAACCACACAGCGATTTGAACACGAAAGAAAGGGCATAAAATATGCGGGAAGCACTTTACTCTAAATGTTCATTTATGTACAGAAGATATAGGGTTTTTATAGTATTTTAAAAGTCCTTGGGTTTTCCTAAATAATCTAGGATACTACTAAACATGATAACAGTGTAGTAATCAACCAATCAGAACCTCTACATGTGACTTTCCATTTTCGTGATATTTCTAATAAAACTTCTAATCAAACGCTGATTGGATAAAATGCTCCTCAATGTTTTCCTAAGTTTGTCATATCTATTGCGAGTAATTTGCAGGATCGCCCCAACAGTTTCAACTCACTCTCTAATTGATGTGTATTTAAATTAACTGTTCAACTTCGATTGGCGGTTATTTTATCTTTACAAATAGATATTTAGACAATTTATAAAGGTTTATAATTTTCTTGTCAATGTTGAAGATTGTAATTGATCAATTTATATTATCATTTGTGTATCATGAACGGTTTGGGTTGATATTGTCATTTCATCATGATTTCTTATAAAAGTTTGAATAGTGACTAGCGGTGGAATCCAGAACTCTGTTGTCGTTCTATTTGGTGGTTGATTAGATGAATATACCTTCATCCTAGTTCTGATTTTCACACTGAGACTCATGATCCAGTCGTTTTCGTTTTGAAAACTTATGACAAAATAGAATTATAGAGTTGGTCCTCTTCAGATGCACATATACCAACAAAGACTGATCAATTGGAGACCTTAACGTCAACAACAATAAAGTTCATACCTGTTGTACAGAAAAGTGACTATTTGAACTCAATAGTCCAGTGTATAACGCATAGGCATTTAAACCAAAACGATACTGGATTCAACTGTCAGTTACTAATTTAAATTTAATAAAGACATGTTTAGGCAATAGGTATTATTATTAAGGTTTGACTTGATAATTTCAAATAAATCGAGCATAGGTTAAATTGTTATTAATAGAAATAATCTATTTTTAATATCCTAATGAGTAGAAAAATTAAATTTTTCCAACATTTCTTGACTCAGTTCAAGCCATTTCTTCGGAGAATAAATAAACAAATTAAGTTGATTAAAAGCGTGAGTCAATTGAAGCTAGACCACCATGAAAAACCTGGAAGCACTGGACGGCCGTTTCGTCTTATTGTGGGACTCCTCAGCAGTGCGCATCCACGACCCCGCCTCGCGAGATCCGAAACCAGAAGCTACCAGTTTCGCACTAGAGCACTTAACCGATAGACCAGTGAGCCGGCATCCCATCGTGTTTATGTCTAACTTCAATCAATCCACGAAGTTGAGCAGCCGTTCACCAATTGTCTTCAGTGAGTTCCTATCTAACAACAGACGTGGTATGAACTCCACTGGTCACTGCTTACTAGAACTCCTGGATTTACCTCTCGAAGTCAGTCACTAGTGAGCATATGATTATTATTATTATCAGAAGGTTTTTTGTGTGGAGTGCTTCCAGGTTTTCGATGGTGGTCTAGCTTCAATCGACTCACGCTTTCAACTATGAAAATACTAAATCTCCACAAAGAAACCTCTTCTGATAAATTAAGTTAACCCAACTTTAAATGGTAGAAAGGAACAATACAAAAATATTAAATACGATCAATCAAAAAACAGGTCAATGTCACGTTACTCCAGTTAAGTTGATTTATGCGAGAGATGTTTATGTTTATGTTGGTTTGTTCTCTGAGCTGGATGGTTTGGTCACGACCAAACCATCCAGCTCAGAGAACAAACCAACATAAAAATCACCCACCTGAGCTACAAATCTTCTCCACACGTTTATGTGTTAATCGATAAAAGAAGTGTGACATCTGTAATGTGAAAGGATAGAGTTGAGTTTTGTTTGTATGATAATAGTGTGAGATCTGACTAGAATCAGACATGGTAACTCGGATATTTAATCCAAGTTTGATGGTTGGTAGGGCTTTTTTTCTATTGGAGGCATTTGGATTTAGTAATATATGAAAAGCTCCAGCTACTTGTTTTTCTTTGTAGTTAGAAAAAACGTTTTTGTATTATTTTGATACTTTTAACATCGACTTGATAGCTATTGAGAATGGCATGGACTTCTGTTGCCGATTCAATTTGGAGCCTTTCCAGTTCTACAGGATTACTTGGCGGTTACTTTGTGTACCTTAGATGCTCTTTGGTTGGAGTCAAGATTTCGCAAGATGACTCTCCAATATAGAAGGTATCACAATCGATACATCCTAATTTTTAGGCGTAATCCTCTGTTGACATAAACAGAATCTTATCCTTTATGTGAACTAAAGCATTCCGAATGATGTTGGTCATTTTGTAGTATGGTTTAATTCTGTGTTGTTTTAAGACTCTTTGAAGTTCTTCTGTTGTGCCATGACGGTATGGTGAAACTGCAGTACCAATTCATGGTGTTTCATTCGAATTATTATTTAGCAGTAAATCATCCGGTTTTACTGAGTCTTCAGTAAACTTCATAGGAAAATTATTAAATTGTAAGATGTTTAGACAATATTTGAAATATCTCTTTTAACGATGTGCAATAGTATATCGTATTCATTAAATAACTGATGATTGACCTAATGATTAATGCTTTGAGCGTTATAAATATCTTATTGTGTATCATTATTTTTATGCTTCACAAACTAATCTTTAGACAGATTTAACTGATCCTTGTTAACAGTGTACATAAATGAGTTATCTTTGACTAAATCATAATGGTTGATTCTCTTGGATGAACGAAAGGATTTACCTCGATGAACGACTGATTTGTTTAATTCTAGTGAGGGTAATGTGATATATGGATACTGAGTTGGTTATATGTTTTGACTTGTTCTTGAAACCGTCCCTTCTATGAGCTCTCTACAGAGCCAATAAACAAACTACACGAGTTCTCATTGCTGTATGAAATGTCAGATGTATATGTAGGTGGTTGACCTTGGACTACGTGAACTATTAAACTGGAAAATGTCACTACCTGCTTATCTGTTATGTGATCAGTTTGTGTAGTTATAAATATTCAGTAGCTTTAAGCATATTTATTCGATAGTTGATAACGCGGATTCCCACTCAATCTTTAATTTCTTTACTACTTGCGTTTGTCAAGCGTTGAAAGCTCAATCTAATAACTCAATTAGACAATATATTGTATTCACTCTATAATCTAATTAGTTTATTCAAATTAAGTATTTTCATTTAATAACTATCATTCTTTTTTATCATAGTGATCAAACCCGTGTTGTCGGTGAAGACATTTACTTACATATTCCATCATTAAAAGATGTATCACATCATACAGAACAACAAAGACAACAATCATACAAAGTAAGCCATAAAAAAGTTATTTATGTAATATTATTTTTTAATTTATTAGGATTTAACATTAGAAGACCAATTTTCAAAGCTTGCATCAGCTTCTTTGACTGAAGATAATTCACTGTTGGAAAAGTTTGCATTTTCTGATGCTTTAGCCTTGTCAGGTAGGTTTTTTCTTTTTTTGAATCTTATTTTTAAAAAATGCCTCCATTACACGAGATTGTGAACCGATCAATGTTAAACCACCATTGAAAACCTGGAAGCACTAGACGGTCGTTTTGTCCTAGTCTGGGACTTTTCAAGCAGCGCCCACCCACGATTCCTCACTCTGGGCTCAAACCTAGAAACTTTTGTTTTTGTGAATAAAATCTTTACCTCTAGACCACCGAGCCGGCATCCACCGGTTTTAATGTCTAATCCCAACCAATCCACGATATTGCGTGAACATTTTCCATTGTCTTCTGTAGGTAACTGCCTCACACCTGACATTGATCGCTTCATGATCTCAACAGTTTCCTTCATTATTGATTGGTATTGCACGGATAAAACTCAGTGTTGTTGTTGTTAATCAGTCTGTGGTTTCATAAAAGAAATTATTTTATACAATAATTTAATGAGTTTTCATGCATTACTGGCTGTACTGTTAAACAACGTGTGTTTAAATCTTAGTGTTATAAGTTGGACAAGTATCACACTAATGACATTGAATATTAAGTGCATTATATCAGGGATTTACTGAAGTTTAGAAAGTGTGTAGACTATTAGTTTTTTTCACTTAAAATATGTTGAAATTCATTGTCCATAAATTGTCAACAATTAAAGTTACCTGATTAAGGTTCATACAATTATCATAACGAACTGGTTGGAAACGTTGATTGATATTGCCTAGAATGAATATTAATGAAACAGTGTGTTCTTTAGCCTCCCTCTTTTCCGTTTTCCATCAGGATTGTAAGTAAGGGATTGCCTCATGATGCATTTTAATGATTTCTGAAATGTATGTCCTATTCACCTCCAATGTCATTTCCTTAAATTCCCCTTCAGTTCGGAGCTGGTTTGTTTTTCTCCCACAGTAGGCTGTTGCTGATAGTATCCAACTAAAGGACACCCAGTATCTTGTGTAGACAATTGTTTATAAATACTTGTACATTTTTGATGATGGTCTCAGCTCCGTACAATGGAATTGTTTTGACGTTCGTATTGAAGATTGTGACTTTGATGTTAGTTGATAGTTGTTTTGAATTCCATATGTTCTTCAACTAATGTTTTAACTATCAAAGTAAAGATTATATGTTTCTGTGGAGTGATAACTACTGATTATATCTTCATTGTTTACTTATATAGAGAATTAAGTGACTGGTCCATTTATAATAAACAATGATTGATTGTGTATTTTAAAAAAATTGTACTCGATAATGAACTAGTGACTTTTTCTTATTTGAACATTTGATTAACTTTTTTGTGGTTTTCATATTTCTTAACTTTACACTCTAATGTGTTTAGTGAAACTCTCTTTATTAGAGAATGGATTCGATACAGCAGTTGTTGAAATTGAACCATGGATTGAAGTAAGTGACTAGTTGGTTATTAATACTTCCCTTTTCTTTCATTCTTCTTATTTTGATTTATTCAGTTATCCTTTTTTCCTCGATTTGAATTCCTAATTGTTTTATTAATTTACATTCAATTTATTAGTGAAAATAACTAGGTATTCAGTTTGTAAATTGTATTCATTATAGATTAACCTTGGTTGAGGTATCAATGATAACCAAGGAGATAAATTCCTAGCTATTTCGTTTTTATTTGGGGAAGCCTACGTGTAATGTGCACTCATCCTAAAGGGGTGGACGCAATGTGTCCTAGTTATTAAACCACTAGGTTAACATTCAACTCTGCATCTTTCCAGCTTCAACCAACTCGGGATTATTCAATGACTTTGGTAATGACTGTTTTCTTTCCCAACTTATCTGATTTCTGTCAGTTACAACTTTACATTGGAATTACAAAAACTTGTCTCGAAGTAAATCGCTAATCTAAATACTATTGTAGTTTTGTTGAAGGGAAATTTTTTTATAGAGATTATCACTTATATATCAAAAAAATATTCAGAAGACCCTTTTAACGGAACTATAAGTATTTAACACTTGTAAAGTTGTTTAAGTAAATAACTATAATCACATTCATGTGACTTACATTGAACTGCATGAATTTTGTCTCTTCTTTCAAGTTTTCTTCAGTGATTTTAGTTTCTTAGACGAATATAAAAAGATGTTATAACGTGTGGGTGCGTGCCTGCCCTGTTAATATATGAACGTTATAAGACCGCCAACCAGAGAGCCAAGATTTATCGATCGCCCAATGATACACAAAAGCTGTATGAGCAGTCTTGAGTACTACTCGGTCCTGCATTCTGCCTAGCCCAGCCATTTAAATCCAGAACACCAATAACAGCCTCTGCAATATGAATGATTATTCACAAACATACTGGGTTTATATACCAATAAAACAGTCCACATCGTACCATAAAATAGAAAATAACATTTGTACAAGATTTAGGCAAAAGTGGCTGTGAATAGGGGGGGACAGTAATCAATAGACTGGGGATAATTCAAGAATGGTAAATTGAATAATAATAGTTCATAGGTCGAAATAAAGCTTATGATAAGAGGAACACGAATATGAATAGTTTAGTTACTTAACAATTATACAATAGGAAATATACACATTACATTGGTCCATAAATAGTCCTCAAAGTTAGCATTCATAATTCTCCACTGGATACAACAAAAGAGAAAATCATAACTATTTCTATTCAAAGGTGAAAATAGTATTTCAGTAACCATTTTGTTAGTCATTAACAAAGCTTGAATTAAACAGGCGTATCTTACTTTAGAACAACAAAAAAATGAAATGAACAAAATGATGAGAAATAAAGTAGTAAATCATGATAAAAGTAGTAACGATCTAATTTAGTCAAAAAAAGTATAAACACATTTGAGTAAAGTAATAGAAACTTATTCATGGCACATGCAATCACAACATTTACAGAATCATGTAGAGAATCAATGTGTAGTTATGCCAATCCAATCGATTATGTATGATTTCATCATTTAGTGAGTATTATGTAAGTAGTTAGATAGGTAGGTAGAGGTATCAATTTGATAGTTTATATTTATCAATGATTTTAACAACTTCGCTGAAATTAATGTTATATGTTCGTTGAGTAACCTTTAATAATGAAAGTAACTTGATCATTATATTGTTTGTTTGTTTTTTTGAACCAAAATATGGTTACATTTGTGAATATTCCTTTATTTATTTATGTTTGTTTAAACACATAAATATTGGTACAAGGGGGACCAGATATATATGCGCCGCACAAATCTCATTTGATTTGTGTCTGAGCTGTGATACTGCCCGGGTGTTAAAACTGAAACAGGTGGTTTTCTTAGGGGGCCACACCTGGAGCCTTTGAGCTAAAGGTCTGATCCACAAGGCAGTGGAGCATCGTAAGGAGATGCATTCCTATGGTAGCCGATGACCAACGATTGATTCATACGCCATTTGTTCCTTCAGGATACTGGAGCCCATGTGCACCATTGGTTTGGAATCAAGGTTTTCCAACTTCCCTAGGTGGACTTTCCGTGTCCACCAACCCTGTTAAAGCGCCGGACATTAGCTTTTCATAACCAACACCTGCGCAACGAGAGAGCAGTGAGTGTAAAAGTGAATTTTTTGGTAATGCGTAGTGTACAAAATCTGATACTGATACACGGGGTTCTACGCACTAACCCCCAACTGACTACTTGAGCGAGAACACAAGAGTAAGCGAAAAAGTACAATGTAATGCCAAATAAAATGCGCAAATACTCATATATATATCACACTATTCTTAGGAAATCGAAATGCACTTATCCTTTAGGTCACTTCTGATTGACATCGACTGACCTTCTCAATTGGTTACCTTTTGATGGGTACTCTATATCAAATTTTCATTGACGTTTTGTAATGGCATGTAAACATTCCGTTAGTTAACACTTTAAATTATCTCTTATCTATTAACATTAACCTGTAAATGTTATTTTATTCTTTGAAAATGTAAATTATATATCCATGGGTTATATGTCTATCAGTTAAGTGCTCTGACGCGAGACTGATAGGTCCTGGGTTCGAATCCCGAGAAGCGGGATCGTCGATGCGCACTGCTGAGGAGTCCCACAATAGGACGAAACGGTCGTCCAGTGCTTCCAGGTTTTCCATGGTGGTCTAGCTTCAATTGACTCATGATTCCAACTATGGAAATAAATTATATAAAATTAAGAAATGACAGAAAAAAAGTTTTTCTATTCAGTTGAGATATTAAAAAATAAATTGTTATCGGAAATATTTTTGAATTTTTGTAATGATGACCATGCTTTTGGGTTGTCAAGACAAATGGATAACCTGACGACTAATCCATGATGTACAATAAGGATTCAATATTGTCGATTAATTGTTGCTCATAAGATCCAAATAAAATCAATATCATAAGATAACATAAGTAATCAGTGTTGCGAGTCCTTAAGAATTCTTTGATAAAGTCTTTAAAGCTGCGGGAAAAGCAAAACGTTTTTGTGTACTCATCATTCAATGGCAGCTTCTAAAAAATTTCTAGAAAACTGATAGTTTATATGTCATGTCCTTGTTGGATAATCACCCATTTCGTTACCAAATTTTGTATATTTTTAGAATCCTCCAGGATCTCAAGGCCACACTTAGGTCTATGAGTATCCTTGTTTTCTGTAGGTAACCTGACTTTAGAAGCAAAACTACGTTTCTTAGGACCAGAAGTGTAGGAAAATTCTACATTTAGGCACCGGACGTATGAATCAGTAGAATAATGTTTAAACACAAGAATAAACATTTTGAAACATAGTTTATTGGAATGCTAAGGGTGTCGTAGGTCATTTAAAGACTATTGGGATTAAGACTTATTCTTCAGTTTTCATTCCCTACATTTTGGGATTATTATTTGCTGTATAAATAAGTTTGTAGTCAATATGTCCAGGGATTAATCTTTCACAGTAAGTTGACAATGATCAGTTTAAATCATTAAAGCGGTAATTAAAACTTTTTGTGTTTATCGTTTATTTTTTGTAGAAGATGAAAACAGGTCGTGGCGCTAGATTCCGTCAGTCTGCAGTTTTACGAAAAACTGGTGAATTGTACACAATTAAGTAGGTCGAATCATTCCCTCCCTCGCTTTTTATGGTTTCAGGCATCAATACGGTAGTTATATGGTAATGATATTCTCCTGAGGTTTACTATTGAACTGTGAGAGATTTTCAATTCATCAACATAGAATGCTTTATCAACATCAGTTTCTATGGAATGAACACATAAATACCCTGCGTATATGTACCGCTTGTATACTATAAATGATTATCAGTTTTCCAACCATGCTTCAAAAATTATTTTCATAATGTCCAGTCGAATATCGAGTTATAGCAGAAATATTTTCTCAATAAGTACCAATTATTATTTAAATTCTTTTTGGTTTTCATCATATAATGTGGAATAATTTAACCAATGTTACCATATTCACGTTAGATATTTAAAGAATCAGTAATTTCTAATAAGAATGTGTAATATCTTAACTGAACAATCAATTGTTGGAAACTAGCGTTTAAAATAATCAACCCTGATAGACTGGTTTATCACAAAATTTTGGCACCTATTCACAAAACTCAGTTTTTATCGAATTCCATCACTTATGAGGTAGGCGAGATGTCCATCTTCCAACTAATGGACTTTTATACTTTCCAGAAGCTCTCTCTGTTCTACTTTATGTCCGTGAAACCTGACCATTAAGAATAAAGGATATTCGTAGGTTACTAGTATTCGATAATAGGTGTCTTTGGAGCATTGCTCGTGTATTTTGGGACCACCGGGTGACTAATGTTTAGGTTAGGGATAGAATACTAAGCAAAGGGGCGAAATCGACTGACGGGATTATGAATTCTCATAGATCTAAGTGACTATGATGTTTATTACGTGTGCTGAACCACCACTTACTTCAATGTACTATGTTTACTGATGTAGTAGTACGTTGAAGGGAAATTAGGCCCAGCCAAACCAGAACGTGACGTTAGTCTCTGAAGTCATTGACTGTTGGTCTAAGCCATGTTGATAGGTGCAGACTGTTTGGTTGGAGCCTCATGATTATCGTAATCAATGGTCGTATGCCCAACCACCGACTGCCCCGACGTGCAATGTTTTATAATGTAAGAGTAGGTTGGAAGAAAGCTAGGGGCGGCCAGACCAAAACATGGCATAAATCCATGAAGTCGCTGACAAGTGGACTGGGCCGTGTTGGTAGGTGTAGACTACCTGGTTGGGATTCGCGAGATGATAGCAACCGATGGTTAGAGACCTTGAATGAAATGGCTCAAAATCGTTTGCAATGGCGCAGGTGCATACACTCTTTGTGTTCTGCCAAATTCTAATCTTCTGAATTCTTCATGTCCGTATCCTTTTTCTCTTTCCAAATTTATTTCACTGGATTATACTCCTCCAATAACATCTTCAAACCCTAATCTTTCACATAATACTTATACTCTTACTACTTCTACCAATATGGGATTTGAATTGACAACCTCATCTCTGTGCTAATGTGGTATGGCAACTCGAACTAATGTACGTGCGTACGAAGTTCTACGTTGTAACTGACTAACTGAATCAATGGTTGAAAAAGCTATGTGACATTGCTCAGAATCGATCGCAGTAACTCATATACATTTAATCTTTGTCTGTAAGTTTTGAGTACTATTTAAACTTATGTTGATTTAATTTCGGTTATTAATTTATTCCGAAAAGGTGGCTTACGTTCAGTTACGAAACGTCAAAAATGCAATTTTCCTACTCATTGCTATATAACAAGAATATATTTATTATAAACCATAATATTAAAAAATACACTACACAATTCAAAACATCTACATCTCTCATAAAACTAATTGTAAATGGTTGTATTGTCCAAGCTGAACAGTTTTACTGTGAAGCTTTGATTATCTCCATAAATTTTCCGATGTTGTCTAGAAATACAGTGAAATCTTAATGATTACATTATCCAGTTAAGGTAACGCGACATCACTAATATCATCATTCTCTCAAGCTAACAATTCCCACTTGTAAAGATTTCAATGATTTTGATATAGCTAGTGAATTGCACTGATATATATATATATATATATATATATATATATATATATATATTACAAGTCCTGTTATTCATTATTATATATGACATCATCCTATATCTTAAGATATGCTGGTGGGCGGCCGATGCTACTCCATGAGGGATAACAGCCGTAAGTAAGCAAGTATATCTTGAGATGGTGAAGATTAGTAGCTCAGGTGGACGCTTTAGGTGTAATCACCAGAGCTGACACAGAAGAGCTAGAGACGCAAGCGTATCTGAAGCCGAACAACACATATCAATTACATTAGCGAAATCCCAATAGCTTACAAAATCAGCTGTATAAAAACTTTATTCCAGCGGTTGAGAATACACCGCAGCACACTTGCAGAGCGGAAAAATGAAAAAAAAATGTTTCTAATGACTATCCTTCGAAAGAACGGCTACCCACACAACTTCTTCAATAAATATCAACCCGACTCATCAACAAAAACGAAATCAAGTATAGAAACCAACAAATGGATCATCCTACCGTATATAAAAGACATCAGAAATCATAACGGGAGTATTGGAGCCGTTTTGAATAGGTGTAGCAAAACACCTGAGTCATCTTGTACGATTTACATTTTATTAGATCTGATAGTTTCTGTCTTTGGGAAGACTCAGAAAACTTCTCGAATAAAATTCTAAAGGGGACCTAAAAACGCTGAGAAACATCTTATCCAACAAGCATCCAATGGAAGTTTACCGGAAACATCTAGAAAGTGCAAAGTCACGTGTCACATTTCTGATTGGATGATTGTCTACCCTGCTACTATGTTTAGAAGGGTTCCAGAACTTTCCAGAAGCTTAAGGTCATCTGAAATGTTATATATACCCTCCATTTTATGTACATAAACTAACCTTGGAGTAAGGCGTTCTTTCCATATTTCGCGCCTTTTCTCCCGTATTCAAGTTGTAGTGTAGAGTTAGCTCGGGGGTTTATAGAAAAGCTTAGGAAACCGATTCAAGCGTTCAGTTAAAAGAATTTTAATCTTTAAAATGAAATAATGTGTTAAATATCTTTCTTTTTATTTTCTCCTAATTTATAGACATCTGCTGAACGTTAGTACTAGTTTAATTGAAACACCTGATTTCTATTGGGAAAGACCGGATGTTGAGAAATTATTTGAAAAATTAAAATATGTACTAAGTGTTTCATCTAGAATAAAGGTATGCGTTTTCCAATTAATTTAATTACTTCAATTAAGTGTGAAACTATAATTTATGGTCAACCTTTGAGCGATTCTAAAATGACTTATGAAAATTTCCATCTACTAACCAAAGTTAAGTGAGGGTTACAAACCAGTGTGAAGAATTAAGTTTATAATTTTCAGTTGATATTTAGAGTTGGAAATTAGATTTAGGGTTCTCATCACGAACTGGCATCAGCTATAATGGCAAAACAATATTTTGCCAAATAGATGAATAAATTTCACGCCAAAATCCGAGACCTCTTATCCTAAATGTGTTCGGTTCGTCCATAAATTATAGTCTCATCAAGTGATAAAAATAAAATTTGAAACTACTTCAATACCTCAGATGCAACAATGTCAAGCGTATTTTCTATAGATATTTGAATTATTTTAATTTTGTTATAATTCCGGTCAACATAGCAGAAAGTTAAATGTTTGTATATGGGAATAACTTATCATTCATATAAGAAGTTGATTTGACTAGTTGGTAGTTAATAATAATGGATACGAATTGTATGTCTAACGTTTCTTACAGAATAACATTTGTTTTGTAGTTGTAATTTAATTATTACTACATGTGGATTTTCTCGATATTGCCATTTGGGCACAAACATTATAAGCGGAGATAAATGACGACTAACAGTCGAATTCAGAACACGCGTTTCATCCTAATCAGTGGATATCCGGACCTAGTAGCTATACGGATAACGTGATGTTGATCTAAGTGAACGATAATGGGTTCAAGTCCCGAAATGAACATCAACTCTGGGATGCAGGTAAATCTAGTTAACAAATCTTACATAGGACAAGACTCACGTCCTGGATTCCATTGCTAAAATCTAGCCGTTAAGAATCTATAGTCAACTTAGTAGACTTCAGTAATCATATAAAAACAATAGATTCACTTAAAATGCTTCTTATTTTGTAATTTGTTTTCTTTTTTTAATATATATATATATATATTCTCCATATAGGTTTTAAATTCACGTTTGGATATGTGTAATGAATTAACATCAATTTTAACAAATCATTTATGTTCTGTACATTCAGTACGTTTAGAATGGATGGTGATTATTTTAATTTTTGTTGAAGTTATCTTTGAAGCAGTTAATTATTATGATAAATCTGGTAAACATTAATAATTGTAAAAATTATTGTACATGTATTATTTCTTTCAAGATTTGATTTATTCAAATAAAAATTTTGTTTCTCTACTTTTAGTATCTGATGTAATGACATAAAGTTATAGTTCAGTGCTTCGCTAATCTTTCGCCTCGATAAACGTTATAATACAAATCTTAACGGTGCATGAAATAAGAAAGCATACATATCTGGGGTGGAGGTTGAATCATTGAATGATATTTAAGCAATCAACGTTTTGTCTAGAGTCTCTCATGTGCTCTAGTGATCATAACAGTACAAAGATATATGCAAATTGTTACTATTCAAATGACATTGTCTGTTAAGTAAGTCAATAAAAGGGCTTAACCAAGATTAACCATAATCTAAATTGGTTGTAGAATAGTTGCTATAACGTAATAATCTATAGATTACATCCATGTATTAGAGAAAAAAACGAGTAGTACTCGGATTAAAAATGTATGATATTAAGGAAAAGTAACAAATTGGTTAGGAAAATTAAATAATTATAAATTGAAATGATCTTTCTGTATGTCAGAAGGGGTTTTATGGAGATTTTGGTAAATTTATAGAGTTGAGATCATGAGTCAATTGAAGCTAGACCACCATGGAAAACCTGGAAGCACTAGACGGTCGTGGGACTCCTCAGCAGTGCGCATCCACGATCCCGCCTCATGATATTCGAACTCAAAACCTACGAGTTCCGCGCCAGAGCACTTAACCGATAGACCACTGAGCAGACGTCCAACGATGTTAATGTCTAACTTCAGCCGATCCTGTATGTTATGCATGTTTAATCACATACTTTGAAGCTTCAAGTTGTTTAACAAGGAATAGGTTATGAGAAATCAAAAAGATATTTAAACTAAGATTTTGTATGATTCAATAAATTCATTAGCTTTTGGTCCAAGTTATATCGATAGGTATAAACATAGGGGTTAGGGTATAACATTAAATTCACGTCGATTTTTAAAAATGTTTTTACCCCCTTTTTAAAAAAAATTTCAGCCCATTTTAAAATTTTTTTTCAATCCGTTTCGTCCAATGAAATTCCTAGTTGTAAATGAGTTATAATTGGTTATATATTTCTTGAAATTTGTATAAAACGTCTGTACTCGTCGACAGAGAAAATTTCCTTCACAATATGGACGGTAGTAACATGTAAAGTACAGGCCCTGTTGTTCCTCACGTTGTCACAGAAACGGATAATGTATTTTTGAATACATTGTATCTGGTAGCGTTCCTATCACTTGGAGCCTTGAAGATCGCCATTAGAACTTATGAATGAGCAACGTATTGCCATTGTGCGGTGGGTGATTCTCATTTCCATGGTGATCAGAAGCCTGGTTAGGGTTCAGAAAATTTGTCCAGTCATTGTTTAAAGATATCAGTGTAATAACTTGGTTGACTTCATTTGCTTTAAACGATATTATCTAACATTTTACACTATTTTAGTCTTATTTCCAAGCATATTGTTTAAATATGGTTTTCTTATTACTATGGATACTTTTTTTACTTTCTGTTTTATTGATTTCATCTCCCTGTATTGAAGTAAGGTTTGTCGATTTAAGTTGATACATATTTGAGCCTTTCCTTACGTCGCTTATGAGAGACTGACTTTCTTTTCAGCAAGTTCGCTATTTCTTCCGCTAGTTAAAAAGTTGTATTACAGGCTTGATTGTAAACCGCC